AAATGATTACTTTAGCTTGTGAAGATGTACATTATGGACATATTTGTTGCAGTATAAGATATTGTAAGAGGTCATAAAGACATATTCCGCTTGTTAGCAGACTTGTTACACTGTTTTTGAAAATATTTGGTTATGTTAGAACATCGATATATATTAATACCTGATAAATTAATAACTTTGTTTAAATAATATTTTGTCCTGGTCCCGACTCAGAGACATCGTGCTAAATTAATAATTCGCTAATTTATAAGAAAATACATAGTTCAAGAGATATTCAACATCTATTTTGTTACTATAATTCTACTCATCGTTTATATTTTGCAGTTCTTGGGTAATTTCACAACAATATGTATTGAAAATAATGATAATAAAAGTAAAAATAGTAATTTTATTAATAAATAAGTTATTAATTAATGTATAAATTATAATTACTCTAAGTTGGGGGTCCTAGGCATAAATAGGCCTAAGTTGCCTGTAGCCTTGGGCTGAATCTGCTCATATACCATCAAGTCTTATTAGTTATTACTATAGGTTCATGCGTTTTCTAAGTTTCGAGGATTTGGGATTATGGGATCGAGATTAGGAGGAAATACGGGATGGGATTCGGGATTTAGTTCAATCTCAATCGGGATAATTTAATCCCGAATTATGAAAATAGTTAAAAAGTAAATAATATATATTAAAATGTGGGGTGTATTTTTACACATATTTGGACATTTTTTGGTTCTTTTTGTAATGTTTTTTGGTCTAAACCCCTCTATGAATAAGTAGCTATGTGATGAACTTATTTGTAATAAGTCGTAAATATATTTGACTATTTAAATAAAAGTTTGATATTCCAAATATATGTGAAATTTTTATTTATTTGGAAAAAGTATACATGGAAACTTGTCGGTTGGATGCTCAAATTTTCAGATGCAGACAAAAGTACACTCTTCTCATACGAACCGTATTTACTTGACCCCACAGAATGTGGGACCCGCACATGTTTGTTCCGTCTGTTTACCGTCTGATTTGACGGCCCATTCCAACATTTTCCTAACGCCGACACCGACATCGACTTCCAGATAGTATTGTATATAAAAAATTAATTAATTTTCTCTTATTTATAAATTAATAAATTAAACAATGCAATCTTTAAAATTGAGATGACGTCTTTTAATATCTATCAAATAAATATGGGGTAAATTACAAACACCCCCTGAGGTATGGTCAAATTACAAAACCCCCCCTCTTGTTTGGATAATTACATCTACCCCCCTCAACTATGATTTTTTCTTACACATCCACCCTTATTGTGCCAAATTCAATACAATCATCTAGATTCCGTGGAATGTGCTTCAGTTTGTATTCGTTTTGTGTAAAAATACAGTTTCCGATGCACCACAAACTGATATACACAAGCTAAAAATCACATATTATGATCATCTTACTTCATAATGTAGAGTTTGAATAGTATAATACGGGTACAAAAGTGATAATATTTCATATAATCTCGAAGATTCCACTAAATTTGAAGAGCTGAGGGGGTGATTGTAATTATCCAAACAAGATGGGTGTTTTTGTAATTTGACCATACCTCAGGGGGATGTTTGTAATTTACCCAATAAATATGCCTATAGAAATTGAATCCCGCAATTATGTATACGATTTAATAAAATTAGTAGCACTATTTTGCATATGGTTAATTTTATAGGGGAGACTGAAAAATCAAAAGAAGTAAACAATTTTATACATAAGTTACCTATACCCTGTTAGAACAAAAAAGTTACGTATAATAACAGAATTTAGCAATTGTAATATAAAATTTAATTGAAAAATCCAATATTTTATTAAGTAAATAGCGAGTTACTTCTTCTGTATCTCCTAAATACAGTATAACCTCGATAATTAATAAGATCGCTTAAAAAATTGTTCACCTCGATCCCGACTCGGTGAAAGTATGTTAAATTATTACCCCTATGATTTAAGAATTCGCTAAATTAATAGAATTTCCCTAGTCCCGACTGAATTAATTTATAGAGGTTCAACTGTAGGTGTTGGTTTTCGCCTTGACACAAGTTTTAATAATCTCGATAAATATGTCTTGATTTTAAGAAAATAGATGTTGATAGACCAAAACATCATTGTTTACTACTTGATGCAGAAACAATAATAGATAGTTAACAAGGATATAATCGGGAAAATATGTAATTATGAAAAAGAAAAAGCGCCACTCTTATTTGCAAAGAGAGTAATTAAATTCAAAAATTCAAAACTACAGATTTAAAAAAGAAAATAGGAAAATGGAGAGATTGACAGTAGAGACAGAGGACAGAATATGGAAGCTGTACAAACACACACACACACACACACAAATATGTGTATTCTGTCTGTATCGAACTGTGATACATATATATACAAGTACAAATAATGTAATAAAAAAGTAAAGAAAATAGTGACGCCGACGGGCAAGCCGAACAACTTCACGACTATTCTACATCTCTAGAGAGAGAGACAACACAACACAGCCCACAAAGGAAAAAGACCCTCACTTTCTCTCTCTAACCTATAAAAATCAAAAGTCAGACTTCTCTCTTCTCTTTCTTGATCTACATTTTTTCTCTCTCTGTTTTCTTTTTGAATTTTTTATTTTTTATTTTTGGGGCTGTGGAAGATTGAGCTGGAAAAAAAAGGGTTAGTGCTGTTTATGGAAGATTCTTCTTGATCTTTCTTTAGATCTTCTGGGTTTGTTCATAATTTGATTATGTTTTGTGCTAATTTGTTGATTTATGTATTTGTGTGTTGCTTTTGATTAATTTATGCTTGTGGGTTTTTTGTAATTTTGTGTGTAGTGGATGAATCAATGTAATTCACTCTGATGCTTTTTAGGGTTGGGTTCTTGATATTTTGATCAGTGTTTTATTTGTATTGATTCGAGCTCGTCTAGCTCGATTTGTTGGACTTTTTCGCTAATTGTCGGATTTTGTTCTTTTTTTGGATCTGTCGAATTTTGGGTTGTTATTCGATAGATCTTCGTTATTATATCAACATCGATCTTTTCCGATTTCAGAAATAGTAGTTATATTTATCCATGTAGTAAGAACAAGATCCTTTTGCCATAGGTTTCTCGTATTAACTCGAGACGCATTTAATGAAGTAAGCATTTACTAGTTCGGTTTTTTCCGTAGAATTTGGATAGAGAATGTCGAGTGGGGGTACGCAGAACAGCTTGAGGAAAACCCTCGGTGCTTTAAAGGACTCCACCACCGTTAATTTGGCCAAAATTAACAGTGACTACAAGGTATATTATTAGCTCGAGTTTTATTTATCGATGTCCTCTAATTTGTTATTATTATAATTAAATTTATTTTTCGTTTCATTTTAAAGGAATTGGACATTGCCGTTGTTAAGGCAACGAATCATGTCGAACGTCCAGCGAAAGAGAGACACATAAGAGGTGGATATATATATATATATATATATATATATATATATATATATATATATATATATATATATATATATATATATATATCGAAGTTATTACACACTATATTTAATCTTTTTTTTTTTGTAATAACCCGATTTTGTTAAAAAGAAAAAAGGAGAAATTTTTACCTTCTGTGCAAATCTAATTTTTGCAGCCGTGTTTGCTGCTGTATCCGGGACGAGGCCGCGTGCTGACGTGGCGTATTGCATACACGCGCTTGCTAGAAGATTGTCAAAGACTCATAATTGGGCGGTACGCGTTCTAAAAGTGATATGCATGTTTTTTTTTTTTGTGGCATTTTTCGGATAAAGAAATTCTACCGTACTTCCCTTTTGTGGTGTAAGTTAATACTCGTTTAGTACCTTGTTTCTCGTTTTTATAGGTTGCGTTGAAAACTTTGATTGTCATCCATCGTGCACTAAGGGAGGTGGACCCCACATTCCAGGAAGAAATTATCAATTATGGCAGGAGCAGAAGCCATATGCTTAACTTATCCCATTTCAAGGACGACTCGAGTCCTAACGGTATTGCTTCTTTTCTTTTTTCTTTTTTTTTTTCAAATATTTTTTTTTATTGTAATAATAAATAGTGCTTTGATCATTTCGTCAGCTTGGGATTATTCCGCTTGGGTGCGCTGTTACGCTTTATATATGGAAGAGAGGTTGGAATGCTTCAGAGTGTTGAAATACGATATCGAGGCTGATCGCCTTGTGAGTTTTTTTTTTTTAATAAATGTTTATTTAATACTCGGTTAACTTTTATTTGTGCTTTTCTTAAAATTCGGCCTAAATCTGTCTGTGGCAATTAGATTTCGGACCCTACTCGAAGATTTATTACTTTGATATATGCATTCAATATGTTTCTTAAGTCGGCTTTTAAGGTTTTTTTGTGTTTTTTTATTACATATAAAAATCGAAATATCTATGCAGAGAACAAAAGATTTGGACACTCCGGAGTTACTCGAGCACTTGCCAGCATTGCAACAACTGCTTTACCGTGTGCTTGGCTGTCAGGTATTATCTATATTTGATCTCATTTGTCCAAATGTTTAATTATTAATTAGATTGTAATGGTCCATAATCTTGGTCCTACGTGGGGGTAAAATCGTCATTTAACAAAGTTTGAATTTTCGGACATGCAGCCACAAGGAGCAGCTGTTCATAATTTCATCATTCAATTAGCCCTTTCCATGGTACGATGCGAGTCCTAATTTTTTCACATACGACATTTGTCCCGTATTTATATGTAATAATCCTCCCTTTTTTTATTTGTTTGTTTGTTGTAGGTTGCTTCGGAAAGCATTAAAATCTACAATGCAATAAGTGACGGCACTGTGAATTTGGTCGACAAGGTAAAAAATAATATGGTTTCTATTTGCTCTAAATTTTCGTTACTATATTCGTGGCAATTAGATTTAACAATCGTCGTTTTCCGACATAGTTCTTCGAGATGCAAAGGACCGATGCTGTGAGGGCATTGGACATATATCGAAGAGCTGGCCAGCAGGTAAATGCCATTAAATAAATAAATTAATAAATTAACTACACTTTCTTAATTTGTCGAACGAGCATTTAGCAACTAATTTTTGTTCCGATTTAAAAAAAAATCTATAGGCTGAGAGATTGTCGGAGTTTTACGAAATATGTAAAACCCTCGACGTGGGGCGTGGAGAACGATTTATCAAGATCGAACTGGTTGACTTTCGAGGCACTTGTTGACTTTTATTTTTACACTACTTACCCCTATAATATGGTTCTGACTTTTTTTTTTATTTAATTTTAATGGTAATTAAAAAAAGCCACCTGCATCGTTTTTACAAGCTATGGAAGAGTATGTAAGAGAAGCACCACGCGCTTCCACCGCTCGATCGGTACTCCTCTCTCAAACTTTTTTTTAATATATTTTGTCAAGAAATATGTAATTAACTCAAAACTATTTAGCAATAAATTATTTATTTTTATTTTATATTTTGAATCGAACGCGTGACTAGATAATTTTGCCTCCGAACGATACAGGGTGATGATAAGCCCAAGGCGATATTAGCAATAGAGTACAAAAACACCTCAGAGGTGAAAGAAGAGCTTCCACCACCACCGCCGCCACCTCCACCACCGCAAGTAGCACCGGAACCACCAGTAGAGCCTGTTAAAGTCGAAGCTCCTGCTTCAGAACCACCACCTGATTTGCTGGTAATTTATTCTATCATATTTAGATCCTTCAATATCAACTTCTTTCTAATTTCTCATTTTAACATTCTTTAGCCTTTTAATATATATATATATATATATATATATATATATATATATATATATATATATATATATATATAATTTTAATATATAAATATTTTTGATCTGTGTATATAGGGTCTGAATGAACCTCTACCTGCTGCCTCAGAGCTCGACGAGAAAAATTCTTTGGCTTTAGCCATTATTCCAGCTGGTAATAATTTTATTTTGATAATATTGAATAAGCATAAAGATTTTGTATTTTCAGTTTGCAATGATATATATATATATATATATATATATATATATATATATATATATATATATATTTTTTTTTTTTTTTAAATTTAAATAACCTCCGATTGTGGGTGCTGCAGAACAACCAGGTTCAACTGTACAAAACCTGAAAAACGGAGCCACAGGCTGGGAACTAGCACTCGTCACCGCTCCAAGCTCCGCCGACAGCGCTACAGCAGCTAGCAAATTGGTACACATAATTTCATCTTATTTTATTTTTTATTTTTATTTTTTTACAGCCAAATTCTAACAAAAAAAAAAAAAAATTCTCGTAAATTAAAAAAGGCCGGAGGGTTCGATATACTCACCCTAGACAGCCTGTACGATGATGCAATAAGAAGAACAAACCAAAACAACGTAAGCTACAATCCATGGGAACAACAACAACAAACTACAATGATGCCGCACGATCCATTCTACGCCTCAAACGGAGTGGCGGCACCACCTTCCGTCCAGCTGGCAGCCATGTCTATGAACCACCACCAGCAGCAGCAGCACAATTATGGTTTTCAGCCGCCACATCAGCAACAGCAGCAAATGATGATGGGGGGCCCACAACAACAACCCGCGAATCCATTTGGAAACCCGTTCGGTGGCGGGCCCCAGCCCTATGGGTCGGGTATGCCCGTTCAAACCTACAATCCTTATCCGGGCCTCATTTGAAACTAAAAACATGAGATATAATTTCGATAAATATTAGGATTATTGAGAGATTCTTGGTAGATTAGATGAATTTGTGTAGCGTATTGTTTTGTGTGGGTGAAAAAGTAGATATATAGACGGAATTCATTGTTCAATAACCGAGTATATATATACATATGTATATATGTATATATGTATGTTCTTTTTTATCGGGTAATCGGTCGTAATGCTTCGATGACTTTGCATAAAATTTGTGTTACCTGCATTGGTCAGGCAGGAGATGTATTTTGGTGTTGATGATTTTTTT